CGTATTAAATAATGATTTTTCTATGTCTCTCCCACTTTGATGTAGCCTCCTAGGAGAAAGAACTATCCTGGATATACCACTTGGTCATGTTTTAACAATTTGAGGTTTGCTTCAAAATTCTTCAATAAAATGTAAGTTAAAAAAAAAAAAAAGCTCCAGCACTTAGCTCAGTTGATAAGAGGCCCTGTCCCCCCACAAATTATAATGTAGCAACTTTTTGAACATATACTTTAAATTCACGATTCGTTTCCTATTTTTAAAGCTATTTTTTTATCATTTGATTAATTGCTTAAAACTGTACACAAAGATAAAGGGAACTTTGAAATTCATACCTTGGAGTATTAACATGTACTCAGGACTAGATGTAAATGTCAGAGAAAAAAAGATCTAATGAACTCTTTATTGGTGAAATACAGTATTGCAGCTGCCTAGAATTTTAAATGGCTTCTAGTCAGCTCCAAAGCAAAGTTACTACAGAAGTTTACTTACAGCATGGACTCTCATTCAGCATTTCCAATATCTTCTTCTAGGGTAGATGGAAGCCATTTGTTTTGCTAGAAGTTGCAGCTACTTCATTTTGTTGAAGTTTAGTGGATCCTTTTAACATTAAAAAATGTCCAGAAAAAAAATAATAATGAAAAAAAAAATTGCAACCACAGAAAAATTTTCCTGTCTAGAAAATTACATGACCATAAGTTTTCCTTTCCCCTGATGCCTTCTCTGCCATAATAATGGCTTCAGAATTTAAATCCTTTGCTGCTATTGTGACTTCAAAGCCTTAAAACTGCAATTGAATGAAGTAGTTCATCTGTCATTATTCAAATATGAAGCAATTATGATGAAATAAAGATAGAATTCCATTGAGAAATACCCCAATCAATTCTCACTTATATTTAACTAGAAACATAAAACGATGCTTAGAAGAGTAAGTTTAGGTAATAAAAACTCAGCATATAAAAAGTATGAATTACTGATCTATAACTTACTCATTTCTGAATAAGCTGTCTAAATATATTTCACAAATATTGACAAAAGTTTAAGCTTACGAAGCAAAACTGTCTCTCAGCTGGTTGTGGAGAGTGAGTGGCTTTTCAGAAATGTATTTGCACTAGTTTGTGGACCCCGAGGTTCAGATGGGAACCTGCAGAGGTTTTGAGGGGTCTCTGAGCGGGTCAGCTCCATTTGAAAGGTGTCAGATCACGACATGCTAATTGCATCTGAAAAGAGGGGGTTTTATAGGTGAGTACATGAAATAACACACCTGCCTCAGCCATCTCTTCATTATAGCACTGAACATGGCAGTGCCGGGCTGATGGTTGGACTCAATGATCTTTTATAACCTCAACGATTCTATGACAGGGGAAGGCATTAAAATAAAATATTGCTGTTGCTGCTTTGATGTCTACACATCCTGGCAGGCCCTGATATGGATTTAGCCCTAAATGCTTGTTTTCACCTTTGTGAATCCAACTGAGGCCCATCCCTACCCCAGAATTCCACAGGGAATTCCCACCTGTACCCAGTTGTATTTGGGAATATGCAACACAGATTAAAAAGTTAAAATATTTTTTTTTAATTATCTTTCAACCTTGCTTTCTCCTTTCATCTTTCTTGCTTGATCTACCCATGTTTACTAGTTTGCTGGTAAAAAGTGGATTCTGTAGCAGTCAAACCAAGGACTCCCAGAGTTTTGGGTCTTAAGCTCTTCAAATAGGCCTCATCCTTCCCATTTTCAATCACGTCACAAACTCAGATGAGAAAAGCACTGCATGTCATGCCTTTTTCTTCGCTCATATTGTTCTTTTGGAAAACAAACCCATCCTTCTCTGCTTATGAAAGAGGACTCTGCCTTCTCTTTTGCCTTCCCGTGGCAAAACAGGGTTAAAAATGCACAAATAGTATATTCTCCTCATTTTCCACAGTTGCTTAAGAGCTCTGTACAGTTTTAAATTCTGTCATGCTGAAAAAAGATCACACAAAGATCACACATAAAACAAGGCATCTACATATTCACATTTATCTTCCTTCATTTTGTAGGCATTTTATCACTCTACCTGGGTATCAATTTTCTGTCATCTACAGACACTCATGTCTTGCAGTTCAATTTGAAAAATGTAATTTCTTTAGACAATCCAGGAACTAAATGTTATCACAATTAAAAAGCAGTGATATTTAATATTGAATTTTAAATAAGAGATGTAACTAGCAAGAAGCATTTGGGGTATATACAATTAATTATTTCACACATAATTATACATGATATTACTCTAAATGTGATAACTTAAAGCATTTGAAAAAGCAGACTGTAATATTCTTCTTTTTTTTTTTCTGCAGAAGCTCTTTCACTTGATATTCTTTTGCTAAATAATATGTAAAATACTGACACCTAATGTTAACTTTCAGTATTATTCATTTTGCAAAACTTTTACTTCCAAGTAGAGAAAGCCCATGTGAAACTGGTGCTTATGCTGCAATTTTGTTTCAGTAAAATGCAATGTAACCTTTTCTCACTTTTTGGAAATAATACTCTGAATTTGTACGTGTCCCTATAAAAGCCAGGAGCTTTCAGGTTTATCTTTACAGCTCACAGGTAAAAAAGAGAGAGTAACTCAGAAAAGTTGAAATAAGTGAGTTTTTGCACAATGAATTTAAGTAAATCCATCAAATGAAAGACAAATACTTTTTTTTAAAGTCACCATTTTTACTTGTAGCCTGAAATGATACTAAAAGATAAAATACTATTAAACATTTATTAATAATCTCTTAGTCTTTGAAATCTAAAGTATATTCAGTACTTTATCTGCCCTATTTGGTTCACTTTCCTCAACCAGAGACACAAGGCATTGTTTTCACAGTTTGTGGATTAAATGCAGATGCCAAACTTCACAAATTTCACCATTTATCTCCCTGTAACTGCCAAGACAGCAAGTCCAAAACCTGAGGTCTGGTTGCTGTTTAGATAGAGATTTTGACATTCTTCTCCTCTTGTGTTTGTCACACAATAAGGTTCAGCTGATAACAGAATAAGATATTTTACAGCATGACCTAGATCCATCCTATATCTGGATTTATATTAACCTTGCCTAACTTTATAGGGAAGACATAAGTGACTGCCAGCCAGAGCTGTACAGCAGCACAAGAGCTTCAAAGGCACTGACACTGAATTAAAACCCTTTCCAACACTGTGGACCATCAGAGTTTTATGTTCAGTGCTTTTTTTCAGCAAGAGTTGCTTTATGGAGAACAGTCCTTTTCTAGGATCGTGTCACTTGACAGATAAAGCAGCTGAGCTGCAGGTATAAGTATAAAAATAAACCCATGAAAACACATGGACTGCAACACAACCATCCAGTCTCAACTGAGCTAAAGAACAATGATGTCAGTGTAATTAAAACATCTTGAGACAGAGCTTTCCAACTGATTAACACTCCTGTGCTATTCTTCATAACAATATTCTAGTTTAAGAATTTTTTCTTACTCTTCACAAGTCCTAAAAATACCAACAAATGCTTTATTTGCAGTTCTTTCAGCTTTCCCCTACATATTACAACCAATTAAATAGGTGTAACTGCAGCAGGGGTTTTAAAATTACATATCTTTGGTGACCTTTAAAGCACAGATGAAGGTCCTTGGGTTTCCCTGCAGGAAACCCAGGAGATGCTGGAGATGCTCTAAGAATGTGACAATTTCAAGTAACAAAAGTATCATAAGCCAAAATGGAGTAGTCTTCACCACCCCCCCAAATCCCTTCTCACCCTTGAAGTAGAATAAAAAGAAATATAATAGAATCCTAGAGAAGTTTGGCTTGGAAGGGTCTTTTAAAGGTCATCTATTCCAACCTCCCTGCCATGGACAAGAATATCTTCACCTAGATCTGGTTACTCAGAGTCCCAACCAACCTGGCCTTAAATGTACCCAGGGATGTGGCATCCACCAGCTCTGGGCAACCTGTTCCAGTGTTTTAACACCCTCATTGTAAAATAATGCTTTCTTATTTCTTATTAATGCCAAACTGAAGGGGAGTTTAAAACCATCACCTCTTATCCCATCACATCAGGCCCTGATGAAAAGTTTGTTCCCAACTTTCTTGCAGGCCTCCTTCAGGTAGTGAAAGTACAATCAGAAATAATTTTCTAAGTGTGTCATATCAAAAATCAGACACATTGAATATCATCAGAGAGAAAGTCCTAGTTAATTCTTGAAAAAGGATATGTGAATAGTACAGGGCTATAGGGGCTTAGTTGCCATTTATGCCAAGATGTTATTTATGTCTTGAAACCACTTGGATAATGTGTTGGTGAAATATAAGCATTTTTTCTACATTGCTTTTAGTTGCCTGGTGCAAATCTCTGCAAAAATTTGTGCCACACAGTAAGTTAACAATGAGACATTTTACTGTGCTAAAAGGGTTGAGAGTTCATTTTGCCTCATCCAAATTAAATCTTTTTAAAACTGCAGGGAGTGTTCATAGAGTCCTTCACTCTGCTTTACACGACTCTACTGAGCTGTTCTCAGCTTTCTCAAGCCCATTATCCCCAAGATGACTACCTAGAAAGATCAACTGCTTTGGTTTAGCCAACTGTATCACACCAAAAAATGTATCTGCGGTGTAAATTTATTTTACAATTAAAAAAATTAATAAAACCAGAATTTCAAAATATTGGGCCCTTTGAAAGATCTGGTGTGCAGCAGTTAAAAGTTTTGAAACAACTAATTGTTCAACTTTTACTTTTCAAGTATACCCTGTGCTTTAAATAGAATTACTAAATTAAAAATGTAAATTGGACTGTATCTTTTAGCAGTTGGTGATTTGTCTATTTTCCACATTTTATTATGTATCAGTTTTATAATAAAGAAGGGATTTTTTTTTCATTCCTGTTCTACTTGATAGCAATTCTGCCATGCTTCTCAAAGCTAATGTAATAAAACTACATAAAATGTTCAAGAAAAGCCCCATTAAAATATACAAAGCATACTAATTCATGGAGTCAAAGTCAAAGCAGAGTGGAAATATGAGCTTTAATAAAACTATGTCTGTTGTAAATAACTATTCAAGCACAGTCATTTTTTTGCAAATTGCATGGGATATAGCTCAGTCTACTCGAAGCAAAGAATCGCTCAGCAGAATAAATGCATCTTGGTCAGAAAGAGATTAAAAGATACAGCTGAGCCATCAATAAGAAGCAGATAGTGCAGTATTATTTGCTGTTTGTTTTGAAGATGTAATTGCAGATCCCAGGATTTCAATAAATCTGTGCACATCACGGAAAGAATTGTAGAGAGGAACTGGGGCAACGCGGAGAGCATTTGGTTCTCGCATGTCACACTGCAAAACAGAGGGGGAACATTCGGTAAATTCAGGTCACTTCATGTTTATCTGTCAGACTATATTTTCAAATGCCATACTTGTCTTCAAGGAAGGATGACTGGACTGACAAGGAGACGCATGTAAATACCTTTGGATCCTCAAAGAACTACGGTGAGGAGCATCATTGCGAAAAACATAGTGAAAAGAGTAATGCATTACCTAAAAACGGATGCCAAGCTCAAGATGGGTAGGACTTTAGAAGTGCTATTTAGGGCTCCAAACCAGCTGTGTATGCCCAAAATTCACCTTAGTCCCTCTAACAACCTACAGTTGATGAGGCACGAGGGTGACAAAAAAAAAAAACAACAACACAAAAACTCCACATTCCAATAGGATAGAGAGTGTTGTACTACAGGTACAACTAATAACACAAGGCTTGCAGTACTTTTTTTCCCTCTCTGTGGGAATTTGAACATTTTCCTGAATGTAATAATCCCTCATATTTGAAACATTTTGCTGCATTGCAAAGACAAGCCAATAATGTGAGGCCTTGTGCCCTCTTAAAAGCAGCAGTTCCTGGAATTCCCTGGCAGTACCAAAACAGCAGCACACTTAGCCTAGAAGAGCTGCCTTTTGGGGAGACAAGTCACCAGCAGAAATAAAACTGTCTCATTTATATGGCATTACACTATCAGCCTCACCTTCCAGCACATCTAAATCACCCAATGTATGGCCTTAAATTTAACTTATATTCTTTTGGAGAAGTGCTCCATGGTAATCATTCCATTACATGGCAGTGCCATTCAGTGGTTTCTTTTTCTAAGTGCACAATTAAAGATTGAAGATGTAAGAAATTTTCATCAGTCCTAGTGGGTTTTTTTTCTCTTATATGAGACTATGTTTAAACAAAATAAAATTATCACTTTGTTATGGTATAGGCTCACAAAACAATGCATAAGAAGATGAAGTTACTCACTGCTACTCCTCTCTTCTCCAACTCTTTAAACACAGATTTTATGGGAAGGGAAAACGATAGAGTGAGTTGGCATCCTCTTTCCTCAATCCGAGATGGTGTGATAATTTTTACAAAGGGCTTCTCTGGGTTTGTTTTATCCTTGCTGTAGTAATGTTTTATCAGGTATTCCAAGTAACCGGTGAGTAGAATGGATTTCCTTCTCAATGCCTTCATCGTAGTTTGACTAAAAACCTACAATGATTTGAAATCACTGGAATGAGAATGTGTTGCTACAGAAAAAGGAAAGGAAATAAAGAAGACTAAAAGGGTGGCACATTTCTCCATACATTATCACTGGAATCCAGCAGTAATATTGGATAGATATTATACATAAACATGGCAGAGCTGGGCTTTTGAAAACACAAGGTAATGTTATGCTTTAGATAATGAAAGACATTTATGTCTACTGTTAAAAGTTTTCATACACATCTGTCCCTTCATAACTGAAGTTGCACACAAAACCAGTTTGCTGAGAGCGTTCATCTGCATATCTGAAGAGGATCCATAAATTCCCTATAGATGCTACACTGCTGCACAAAACTCAAAATCACATGAAGGTTTCTCCGTGTATGTACCTCTAGTACAAACCTTCTCGCTCTCCACAACTGCCTGACAGGAGGGTGTAGCCAGCTGTGGGTCAGTCTCTTCTCCCAGGTAACAAGTGATAGGAAAAGAGGAAATGGCCTCAAGGTGCACCAGGGGAGATTTAGTTTGGATATTACAAAAAATTTCTTAACTCAAAGTGTTCTTGAGCGTTGGAACAGGCTGTCCAGGGAAGTGGTGGAATTACTGTTTTTGGAATTGTTCAAAAGGCACATAGATGTGGCATTTGAGGATGTGGTTTACTGGTGGGCCTGGCAGTGCTGAGTTAAAGGCTGGACTTGATGATCTCAGAGGTCTTTTCCAAAGTAAATGATTCTGTGATTCTACTAACAAAATCCAGGGGCTGAGACTGAAACATCATGACTGGTCTACAAATTCTTTCCTTTGAAAGCTCAAAATTTCTACTAACATACTGGCTTTACTGCTTTAAGTCCTGTAGAGGCTCTCCCTCTAGTCCACATGAAGAAAAAATATTCACTAAATTCTTGTTTAATAACTGTGCTCTGACACAGCTGCAAGAACTGGTGAGTTTCAGAAACTCAAAATATCATGAGACTTGCAAAAATGACTGCCTGAAAATGGCAGTGCTATTTTGCCACACAAACAAGAACAATGTGACAGAGGAGTTTGGAAGCAAAAGACGAGACAGCTTCTGCTTTTGCTCTGGAAAGGCTCAGTTACAGGGAATAATGAAATAGGTGACTCCCGAAACAATTTACCCACACCTTCCTCAAACCCTCTCTTTTCTTCTTCCCATGGAAGTAGCTTCAGGGAAACATGACAAGACATAGATATGCAAGTGCCCAACAGCCACTTCAAATCACATCCTGGCACATCAATGCAATATTGCTTCTCATGGACAGTTATCCCTCCACCAATTGCAGCTGGAAAATCAGAGGCAAGGCAGATATCCTGGATGAAAATCCATGATCTTCACTCTCAAGAAGTCACTGTTCCAGACTGGAGGAGTAACAATTTTAAGATTACTTATATCATAACCTGGAAGAGCACGTAGAGAGGTACCTGAGAAATCCCACTCAAAATACAACAAACTCTGGTTTCCAACAGCCTCTGGAAATCATTCTTTTGTAGAATATCCCAAGTCTCACTCCCTGATGTTTTCACAACCACTAGATGCTGCACAAAACCAAAAGCCCCTGCATGTGTTTTCTGTGAAATGGAATATGTACGCTGTAAGACAGAATTTGCAAGGAAATGAACGTGACAGGGACCAGAACCACCAGCACTCAGCACTTGCACAGGTCAACAAAAACCTAGAGGTGCTTCCCTCACCACCCAGGCAGACAGAAAGCACACAGCACCGTTCAGCACATAATGGAGGGAAAACAGAGACCTGCCTCCTATTCCTCCAGGATTTGCAGCAGTATGAAGGATGGATCTCCTCAGGCTGCATGCAAAAATCTGTTTCCACAGGCTTTGAGCAAGGAATATTTGGTCTCCTGGGTGAAATTTTTTGAAAAAGGTCTTTTAAATGTGGCTGTAGAGTGCTCCCCTTTTTTCCGTAACAGGGAGCAGCTACTGCCATAACAGTCATTTTAAGCATTATTGAGGAATAACATCCATTAACACTTGCAGTTTTCATTGTTTCCATTGGAAACACTGCCTTCTGTTTAATGTGTCCCAGTGAAGGTGGCATGCAATTTCACTAGCCATCTCTTGCCAGACATGAAAACTATTTTGTTTCCCACTGTATTAGAGCAATTAGCACTGGGAAATCCTGGCTGTGCCAAAAGGTAATGTGGGCATGGAAAGGGGAGGCGATGGAAACTGCTCAGCCCTCATTGTTCGAGGCTCCCTGCAGTGGGCTAAATGACACCAGCCCACACAAACCAGAACACTGACAATCTGGGTCATAGCAGAATAGCTTTCAGCTTATCTCAAAGGTCACATAAAGTTTAAAACAATATATTGGATGTTTAAGGACTAACAAAACAAATTGTCAGGCGGAACAAGAAGCATTGCTGTGCCCTTTGCAGTCCTTCAGTGTTGCATGTAAGATGAAGAGAGCATTACTGGCAATTTTCTGACTTTGTTTGCTTAAGATACTGTTTTTTTGGTAAATAAAGAAGAGAGACATACAGTGCATGGACACTGTTCTTTGTTCCAGCATCAGCTTTGTTGTTCCACTAATATTAATGGAATGCTAAGCAGAAATATATTTCACCCATTTCTGCTGGTGGCAAAAACTTGCTCAGCAAAGGCTGGCCTGAAAAGCAGCGTAGGGATAATTTAATACAGCAGAATATTTAGCATATAGTTTGTTAATATGAGTTAAACCATCTTTTTCAGCCACAAAGACCCAGAGT